AAGGTACCTAGGGATTGGGCAGAGAGCATGCATAGTTCCCTTTTTTAAAGGCAAAAAGGGGTAAAAGAGAGTGCCAAAAAAAATAGGGGGGGTAAGTCTGTTGAGGTTTCCTGGCAAAAATGTATGGGGAGTTATTATTGAAAAAAAATTTAAAAGAAAACGGGGAACAGGATAGCAGTGAAAAAGGAGGGGTTTTGGGGAAAAGGGAGGGGGTTTTGTGGACAGGTGTTTGCAGTGAAAAAATATAAATGAACAGTATTTAGATAAGGCTAAAAAAGGTCTTTTTGGGGATTTATGGATTTGGAAAAGGGGGTATGACAGGGTGGATAGGGGGGCCAAAGTGGGGGAAAATGTTGCAGGGGGTATGGTGTTTGGAGGTAGGTTACTGAAAGAGTTTAAAAAGTTTTTACGAGGATAGTGAGGCTCAAGTTTTGGGGGTTTGTAGGAAGGGGGGGAAAAATTTTTTTCCCCGGTTTAAAAGTAGGTTTAGACAAGGATGTGTGATGTCAAACCCTGGGTTTTTTAATATAAATTTTTGATTTGGGGGTTTTAAGAGAAGTAAAGGGGAAAGGGGCTTGGGGGAAGAGGCGTGGAGTTAAAGATAAAAAATCCCCCAAAGGGGAGTTGTCACAGTTGCTCTTTGCTGATGAAAACTGTGCTCTTGGGAGATTCTGAAGAGAAGTTGCAGAGGGTTTGGGGGATGAATTTGGTAGGGGGTGCAAAAGAAGAAAAATTGGGAAAATGAAAACAGGAAAGAGTAAGGTTTGAGGGTAACAAAAAGATTAGGGGATGAAAGTTTTTGGGTATCGATTGGAGGGAGAGAGTATGGGAGGAGGTGAATGTATTTAGATATTTGGGGTGGACGTTGGGCCGGGATGGGTCTTTTGAAAAATGAGGTGAATCATAGAATTTATGAGGGGAAAAAAAAGGGGGGAGTGGTGCATTAGGAGTCTGTGGAGCAAAGAAAATTTGTCCCTTTGGGGCAAAAGGGGAATGTATGGAGTATAGTTTTTTTAACTTCTTATTTTTGGGTGTGAAGCCCTGGGTGATGAAAAGTTGCACGAGGAGAAGGCTGGGGGAAAGGGAGTGGAGATGTCATGTCTGAGGGGCAATGTGTGGTGTGAAAAATTTTAAAGAGGCAATTCGGTTTGTTTGGAAGTTAGGAGGAGGTGCGGGATTAAAAAAACTGTTGTCCGGGGGGCTGAGGAAGAGTTGTTGAGGTGGTTCGGACATGTGGAGAGAATGGAGCGAAACAGAATAACTTCAAGAGTGTATCAGTCTGTAGTGGAAGGAAGGCGGGGTAGGGTCGGCCTAGGAAAGGTTGGAGGGAGGGGGTAAAGGAGGTTTTGTGTGCGAGGGGCTTGGACTTCCAGCAGGCATGCGTGAGCGTGTTTGATAGGAGTGAATGGAGACAAATGGTTTTTAATACTTGACGTGCTGTTGGAGTGTGAGCAAAGTAACATTTATGAAGGGGTTCAGGGAAACCGGCAGGCCGGACTTGAGTCCTGGAGATGGTAAGTACAGTGCCTGCACTCTGAAGGAGGGGTGTTAATGTTGCAGTTTAAAAACTGTAGTGTAAAGCACCCTTCTGGCAAGACAGTGATGGAGTGAATGATGGTGAAAGTTTTTCTTTTTCGGGCCACCCTGCCTTGGTGACCACCCTGCCTTGGTGACCACCCTGCCTTGGTGACCACCCTGCCTTGGTGACCACCCTGCCTTGGTGACCACCCTGCCTTGGTGGGAATCGGCCAGTGTGATAATAAAAAAAAAAAATTTGAAAATGTGTAAAAACTTTTATCTACAATTTTTTTTAGTTATATTTGAAAATATGTAAAAAAAAGTAGATCTACTTTTGGAGCTACGAATTTGAACGTCGATCTGTATGGACCGTTTTTTATTATTTTTATTATCACACTGGCCGATTCCCACCAAGGCAGGGTGGCCCGAAAAAGAATAACTTTCACCATCATTCACTCCATCACTGTCTTGCCAGAAGGGTGCTTTACACTACAGTTTTTAAACTGCAACATTAACACCCGTCCTTCAGAGTGCAGGCACTGTACTTCCCATCTCCAGGACTCAAGTCCGGCCTGCCGGTTTCCCTGAATCCCTTCATAAATGTTACTTTGCTCACACTCCAACAGCACGTCAAGTATTAAAAACCATTTGTCTCCATTCTCTCCTATCAAACACACTCATGCATGCCTGCTGGAAGTCCAAGCCCCCTGCACACAAAACCTCCTTTACCCCCTCCCTCCAACCTTTCCTAGGCCGACCCCTACCCCCCCTTCCTTCCACTACAGACTGATACACTCTTGAAGTCACTCTGTTAAGGGGGTTAAAACAATGTATAGAACTTTTTCACTGGCAGTCACCCTTCTTCCACCACTGGAGATTTAAGAAAATTTCCGACATCCTTGGGTTTATCTATGCCTACCTACCAGTTTGTCATTTAACCGCAAGAGGCTGGTTACCTGTGGTCAGCGGTGAGGCGGTGGTGGAGGTAATGTTTCTCGCCCCGGGGAAAGGGGTCCACGTAACGGTGGTGTACCCTGGGGGAGCCCCCTGGTGGGGGGGTATTGCTGTGGGGTGGATTGGGGGGGCCCTTTGGTCGATTTGATGGAGCACGGCCCGAATTAGATAGGGTGCCCTGAAAAAAAACTTTAAAAACTTGTAAAATAATTTGAAAAAAGGGTTTTTAAGAAGCTTTATAATAAGTATTTTTAACCCCCGGGGGTAAACTTTCATTATTTTTCCTTAATTGTCCTCCCCTGAAAAAAGAAACCCTGGTGTTTTCTTTTCATGGGGGCCAAATCACCTGCAAGAAATGGTACCTGGTGGTTAAATTTAAAAACCCCTTTTTTGGGGGCATTTTGGGGGCAAAAAACGGGAAAAAGACATTTCAAATGCCCAAACTCCTTCTTAAAAAGTTCTAACCCCCAAAAAAAAAAAAACCAAACCACCAACAACAACCCCAAACAAAAAACCCACAAAAAAACCAAACAACAACCAAACCAAACCACCACAAACAAAAACCCACACACAACACCACAAACACCAAAACAACACACCCCCCCACCACACACCACACCCACACACACACACACACACACACACCCAACCCCCTACTTCAAAGTCCACATAACATGCCCCTCATCACTTTCTTCAAACCCATCTTTCCCTAAAAACCCCTTTCAAACATGATTTCCCATTTTCTTTTTCCCCTCCATTGACATCATTTCTTTGTGCTTAAATTTCCTGATCACAATAATATGACAAATCAGTTACACCCATTATAAGTCTCAGGGAGTTGTGTGGGGGGTCAATCCCCTTGGTCCAGTGCTTGCCCTGGCTGCACACAATCTGTGTATGCCCCACGGGCTGGGTATGGGGGGCCCAAACATTTTTTTACCACAATGGGCATTTTCCCCCACAGTTATCCTACAAAACAGTGGAAAAAAATCTCCATGGGGAAGTGGAAAAAATTCTTCCTCTTAAGCCATGTGTGTTGTAAAGGCAACCCAAAATTGCCCGGGGCAAGGGGCATAACCCTTCTCCTGATACATTACTAAAATTAGAGAGAGAAAATTGTTTTTCTTTTTTGGGGCACCCTTTTTGGTGGGGATATGGCCGGGTTTTTTGAAAAGAGAAGGATAATGGGGAAACCCAAAAAAAAAAACTGACAAGTCAGTGATGATTTCAAGTCACTTTTTTACAAAGGGGGAATACTATGTACAAAACAGCCCCCTTCAAAGAAAGCAAAATTACAGATCTGGAGAATGCACAAAGAACTTTCACTGCTCATATAAGTTCAGTCAAGCACCTTAATTACTGGGAACATCTGAAGTCCCTTGACCTGTATTCCTGGAACACGGGGGAGAAAGGCACATCATAATTTATACCTAGAAAATCTGATGGACTGGTCCCAAGTCTGCACACTGAAATCTCTCATTATGATAACAAAAGACTCAGCAGACAGTGCAACATTCCCCCAATGAAGGGTGCTGTGAGTACTGAAAGAAAACACAGTGTCAGGGGTCCTCAGGGGTCCAAGACTGTTCAACAGCCTCCTATCATACATAACAGACCCCTGACTGTCTTCAAGAGGGAGCTGGACAGACACCTAAAGTTAGTACCTGATTAGCTGGGCTGTGGTTTGTACATTGGATTGGATGTGACTAGCAGTAACAGCCTGGTTGATCAAACCCTGGTCTACCATGAGCCCTGGTCATGGACTGGGCCACAGGAGTGTTGACCATGGAACTCCCTCCAGCCAGAAATGCAACACTGTCCTTCCCACCTCCAGGACTCAAGTCCAAAAGCATATTAAACTAAAATAAAAAAAAAAAAAAAAAAAAAAAAAAAAAAAAAAAAAATCCCTACTTATTCCAATATAAACTGGAATCACACCATTTTTTAACCCACCAACAATCTTCCAAAAAAAATATATATATAAAATTTACCATCCCTCATGCTTCAATTCTCTCACTATCTCTCTACACCTCCCCCACCCACATATACATGTAAATAAATTCACAGAGAAAAAGTGTGTTTCTTACCCTGTGATAGTGTGCCATCAGGAGTATAAGGAGGTGGTGGGTATCCTGAGTACTGATCCTGATACGGAGGAGGATAACCCTGGCCGTCTGATGCTGGCAGTGCCTGGTTCATCTCGTGTGTCGGAGAGTAGGCATGGGGGTGGGAATTCATGGCATACATTACATCCAGCTTGAAAATGCAGAAAATATGTAAGAAAAAAAAAGGGATAGATTTGACCTTTTTTTTTTTTAAATATAGTCCGCTGTTTTACAAAGCTCCTCTCTACTTTACCTTTGAAGAGTTTCGAAAGTTTCCCTACTCTCAGAGCCTGGCCATAGGCAAGGCTGATTTTTTAAATGTAACTGATAAAAAGTAAATCGAAAATTGTATAGTACATGAAAAGGCCTACATAGCCCTTTTTATTATATTTTCAATATACTTTTTGAATAGCATTTACAAAAAAAAAAATCAATATAGAGCTTTATAATGGATCTAAGAGTACTGCAAACAAAACAAAAACTACAGTGGACCCCCGCTTAACGATCACCTCCAAATGCGACCAATTATGTAATTGTATTTATGTAAGTGCGTTTGTACGTGTATGTTTGGGGGTCTGAAATGGACTAATCTACTTCACAATATTCCTTATGGGAAAAAATTCGGTCAGTACTGGCACCTGAACATACTACTGGAATGAAAAAAGTTCGTTAACCGGGGGTCCACTGTATATTAACATACACTGAGATATATACCTCTCAGTATATCAGCAATAAAATATACCCACAGGTTATACACACTTCATAATGAAGTTATATTTCTGGCAACAAGTTAGAATATTTTGGTAGGCTGAGACAACAAATTCATTATCAAAAAACAACGAAAGTAAAACAAATGAGATTATTATTTTTCACATGAATTATATGATGAATCTAGATACAAGAGGCAACGTCCCCTTAACCCGTAAACGGACCAAACGTATATATACGTTTTTTTCAACATTTGAATGTAAAAAAAGTAATCTATTTGTTTTTTTACATTTGAAAATATGTAAAAAAAAAAACAGATCTACTTTTGTAGAACTACACATGTGAACGTAGATCTACTTTTGTAGCACTACACATGTGAACGTAGATCTACTTTTGTAGAACTACACATGTGAACGTAGATCTACTTTTGTAGCACTACACATGTGAACGTAGATCTACTTTTGTAGCACTACACATGTGAACGTAGATCTGCTTGGACCGTTTACGGGTTAAGTGTCACTTGTAGTGATGACCTCTGTAATATTGTCACCTTGAGTGACAGTTGTACTCATAACATCTAAAATATAAAATCATCATTCATTTGGGGTTCGTGAATTCGGTGCCAGATGTTGGATGTTTGATCTTGTTAGGTAAGACACATATGCAACAGTTAGACATCTTTATTCCGAAACGTTTCGCCTACACAGTAGGCTTCTTCAGTCGAATACAGAAAGTAGGCAGGAACAGTAGAGATGTGAAGACGATGTAATCACATCTCTACTGTTCCTGCCTACTTTCTGTATTCGACTGAAGAAGCCTACTGTGTAGGCGAAACGTTTCGGAATAAAGTTGTCTAACTGTTGCATATGTGTCTTACCTAACAACCTGTCGGTATTGTATACCATTTTGATGTTCATGTTTGATCTTAAATATTATTACAATGGAGAGAAAATATAGAAATGATAATGAATAATAACAAATAAAAGTGTACATACCCCAGTTTGTGAATTACCATAGTGACCACGAAGTTCTATGCTATTGGGCCGTAGTGGCCGCCCGTCAGCAGCATGTACGCCGACCGAATCGTCGTATATACCCTAGTTAAAAAAAAGACATCTGGTTACAACTCCCAGTGTAAGCATACCATGGAACGGATGGAGTTTGAATCCATGGCAAGAGAGTCGTAAAGCTCCAGGATCAAACCACTGGGCCATGGGTTCTAACTCCATCCCTTTCCATGGTTTGTGGCAATCATGCGGTTTCATTTTTGAGAGTCTCTCAATGAAACTACCATACAAATGAATACTACACAAATACAAGTCGACCATCAGTAATCCGGCATCATCAGGACCTGCCGAGTGCCAGATTACATAGTAGTTAGGCTAGAATACACTTAACCCAACAGATTCTGCAGGATTAGTCAGAAATTACTGCCGGGTTAGTGATGTAACCGGAATAGCGTTTGCTGGATCAGTGATGGCCGACCTGTACAATTTTAAGCAAAAAATACATTTTAAATATAAATGATAATGCTTCTTTATCAAGGGTTTCAGTCTTTAACAAATGATTTACGTTATTAAAAGGACGACTTCCATTAAGTCATGTAGTTGAAAATTTACCAATTTGCTAACAATTTTATAATTTTTTTTTTTTTTTTATTATCACACTGGCCGATTCCCAGCAAGGCAGGGTGGCCCGAAAAAGAAAAACTTTCACCATCATTCACTCCATCACTGTCTTGCCAGAAGGGTGCTTTACACTACAGTTTTTAAACTGCAACATTAACACCCCTCCTTCAGAGTGCAGGCACTGTACTTCCCATCTCCAGGACTCAAGTCCGGCCTGCCGGTTTCCCTGAATCCCTTCATAAATGTTACTTTGCTCACACTCCAACAGCACGTCAAGTATTAAAAACCATTTGTCTCCATTCACTCCTATCAAAACACGCTCAAAGCATGCCTGCTGGAAGTCCAAGCCCCTCGCACACAAAACCTCCTTTACCCCCTCCCTCCAACCTTTCCTAGGCTGACCCCTACCCCGCCTTCCTTCCACTACAGACTGATACACTCTTGAAGTTACTCTGTTTCGCTCCATTCTCTCCACATGTCCGAACCACCTCAACAACCCTTCCTCAGCCCTGTGGACAACAGTTTTGGTAATCCCGCACCTCCTCCTAACTTCCAAACTACGAATTCTCTGCATTATATTCACACCACACATTGCTCTCAGACATGACATCTCCACTGCCTCCAGCCTTCTCCTCGCTGCAACATTTATCACCCATACTTCACACCCATATAATAGCGTTGGTAAAACTATACTCTCATACATTCCCCTCTTTGCCTCCAAGGACAAAGTTCTTTGTCTTCACAGACTCCTAAGTGCACCACTCACCCTTTTCCCCTCATCAATTTTATGATTCACCTCATCTTTCATAGACCCATCCGCTGACACGTCCACTCCCAAATATCTGAATACATTCACCTCCTCCATACTCTCTCCCTCCAATCTGATATCCAAACTTTCATCACCTAATCTTTTTTATCCTCATAAACCTTACTCTTTCCTGTATTCACTTTCAATTTTCTTCTTTTGCACACCCTACCAAATTCACCCACCAATCTCTGCAACTTCTCTTCAGAATCTCCCAAGAGCACAGTGTCATCAGCAAAGGCAACTGTGACAACTCCCACTTTATGTGTGATTCTTTATCTTTTAACTCCACGCCTCTTGTCAAGACCCTCGCATTTACTTCTCTTACAACCCCATCTATAAATATATTAAACAACCACGGTGACATCACACATCCTTGTCTAAGGCCTACTTTTACTGGGAAATAATTTCCCTCTTTCCTACATACTCTAATTTGAGCCTCACTATCCTCGTAAAAACTCTTCACTGCTTTCAGTAACCTACCTCCTACACCATACACCTGCAACATCTGCCACATTGCCCCCCTATCCACCCTGTCATACACCTTTTCCAAATCCATAAATGCCACAAAGACCTCTTTAGCCTTATCTAAATACTGTTCACTTATATGTTTCACTGCAAACACCTGGTCCACACACCCCCTACCTTTCCTAAACCCTCCTTGTTCATCTGCTATCCTATTCTCCGTCTTACTCTTAATTCTTTCAATAATAACTCTACCATACACTTTGCCAGGTATACTCAACAGACTTATCCCCCTATAATTTTTTGCACTCTCTTTTATCCCCTTTGCCTTTATACAAAGGAACTATGCATGCTCTCTGCCAATCCCTAGGTACCTTACCATCTTCCATACATTTATTAAATAATTGCACCAACCACTCCAAAACTATATCCCCACCTGCTTTTAACATTTCTATCTTTATCCCATCAATCCTGGCTGCCTTACCCCCTTTCATTTTACCTACTGCCTCACGAACTTCCCCCACACTCACAACTGGCTCTTCCTCACTCCTACAAGATGTTGTTCCTCCTTGCCCTATACACGAAATCACAGCTTCTCTATCTTCATCAACATTTAACAATTCCTCAAAATATTCCCTCCATCTTCCCAATACCTCTAACTCTCCATTTAATAACTCTCCTCTCCTATTTTTAACTGACAAATCCATTTGTTCTCTAGGCTTTCTTAACTTGTTAATCTCACTCCAAAACTTTTTCTTATTTTCAACAAAATTTGTTGATAACATAATTATAATTATTTGCACTAAAATGTCAAGGAAAAAAATGCAAGAATAACTAAAAAAATAATGAACAACAATACACAAATAACTCGCACATAGAAGAGAGGAGCTTACGACAATGTTTCGGTCCAACTTGGACCATTTACAAAGTGTGACTTTGTAAATGGTCGAAGTCGGACCCAAACGTCGTGGTAAACTCCTCTCTTCTATGTGCGGGTTATTTGTGTATTGTTCATTCAGTTGTTGTCCTGCCATAAGTATACTTATATAGTTCAGATGACCCTCTCAACTTCAACATCCTCACTCATCCTTCAGAGTACAGGTACTCTACTTCCCACCTCCAGGACTGTAACATCCTCACTCATCCTTCAGAGTACACATACTGTACTTCCCACCTTCAGGACTGTAACATCCTCACTCATCCTTCAGAGTGCAGGTACTGTACTTCCCACCTCCAGGACTGTAACATCCTCACTCATCCTTCAAGAGTACAGGCACTGTACTTCCCACCTCCAGGACTGTAACATCCTCACTCATCCTTCAGAGTACAGGTACTGTACTTCCTACCTCCAGGACTGTAACATCCTCACTCATCCTTCAAGAGTACAGGCACTGTACTTCCCACCTCCAGGACTGTAACATCCTCACTCATCCTTCAGAGTACAGGTACTGCACTTCCCACCTCCAGGACTGTAACATCCTCACTCATCCTTCAGAGTGCAGGTACTGTACTTCCCACCTCCAGGACTGTAACATCCTCACTTATCCTTCAGAGTACAGGTACTGTACTTCCCACCTCCAGGACTAACATCCTCACTCATCCTTCAGAGTGCAGGTACTGTACTTCCCACCTCCAGGACTAACATCCTCACTCATCCTTCAGAGTACAGGTACTGTACTTCCCACCTCCAGGACTGTAACATCCTCACTCATCCTTCAGAGTACAGGTACTGTACTTCCCACCTCCAGTACTGTAACATCCTCACTCATCCTTCAGAGTACAGGTACTGTACTTCCCATCTCCAGGACTGTAACATCCTCACTCATCCTTCAGAGTACAGGCACTGTACTTCCCACCTCCAGGACTGTAACATCCTCACTCATCCTTCAGAGTACAGGTACTGTACTTCCCACCTCCAGTACTGTAACATCCTCACTCATCCTTCAGAGTACAGGTACTGTACTTCCCACCTCCAGTACTGTAACATCCTCACTCATCCTTCAGAGTACAGACACTGTACTTCCCACCTCCAGGACTAACATCCTCACTCATCCTTCAAGAGTACAGATACTGTACTTCCCACCTCCAGGACTAACATCCTCACTCATCCTTCAGAGTACAGGTACTGTATTTCCCACCTCCAGGATTGTAACATCCTCACTCATCCTTCAGAGTACAGACACTGTACTTCCCACCTCCAGGAATAACATCCTCTCTCATCCTTCAGAGTACAGACACTGTACTTCCCACCTCCAGGAGTCAAGTCCTGCTAACTATGACCCCTGAATCACTTCATGTCACCTACCTCACACTCAAACATTACATAAGAACATAAGAACATAAGAACGAAGGAACACTGCAGAAGGCCTACTGGCCCATGCGAGGCAGGTCCAAGTCCCTACCGGCTTAAGCCAATGCACCCAACCTAGTCAGGTCAGGTCACATTGACTCAAGGGAGGAACACGGCAACCGACCCGTTAGCACAAGCTATCAGGTCTAACTCACACCCACCCATATCTACTCATGTATTTATCCAACCTATTTTTGAAGCTACACAACGTTCTGGCCTCTATAACGGTACTTGGGAGTTTGTTCCACTCATCCACAACTCTATTACCAAACCAGTACTTTCCTATATCCCTCCTGAATCTGAATTTTTCCAACTTAAAACCATTGCTGCGAGTCCTGTCTAGGCTAGATATTATCAGCACACTATTTACATCCCCTTTATTTATTCCTGTCTTCCACTTATAAACCTCAATCATATCCCCCCTAATTCTACGTCTTTCTAGAGAGTGCAGTTTCAGGGCCCTTAGTCTATCCTCATAGGGAAGGTTTCTGATACATGGGATCATCTTTGTCATCCTCCTTTGTACATTTTCCAGAGAATTTATATCCATTCTGTAATACGGTGACCAAAACTGTGCAGCATAATCTAAATGAGGCCTAACCAAGATGTATAGAGTTGAAGAACAACCTGAGGGCTCCTATTATTTATGCTTCTTGATATGAAGCCAAGGATTCTATTAGCTTTATTGCGAACATTATGCACTGTTGTCTTTGGTTTCAGATTACTGCTAACCAGAACTCCTAAATCTTTTTCGCAATCCGTAATATTAAGATCTACATTATTTAGTTTATATGTGGCATGGTTATTGTCCTGTCCAACATTTAGAACTTTGCATTTGTCTATATTAAACTGCATCTGCCACTTCTCCCGACCACTGCATCATCTATTCAAATCTTCCTGGAGTGCTCGAATGTCCTCGTCAGAATGAATTCGACGGCCTATTTTGGTGTCATCGGCAAACTTGCCGATGTCGCTCTTTATGCCCTCATCTATGTCGTTATGTAGATTGTGAACAGCAGGGGGCCCAACACTGACCCCTGTGGAACACCGCTCGTGACGCTTCCCCACTCTGATTTCTCCCCATTTATGCAAACTCTCTGCTGCCTATTTGTCAACCATGCCTCTATCCAGGAAAAAATTTCTCCTCCTATTCCATGTGCTTTAATTTTCCTCAATAGTCTCTGATGTGGGACCCTGTCAAAAAGCCTTACTGAAGTCCATATACACAATATCATATTCGTTACCATGATCTACCTCCTCAAATACCTTAGTGAAAAAAGTTAATAAATTCGTAAGGCAGGAACGTCCCTTTGTAAAACCATGCTGAGATTCGTTGATTAATTTATGCTTTTCAAGGTGGCTACGAACTGCCTCGGCAATTATTGATTCCATAAATTTTCCCACTATGGAGGTTAGGCTTATTGGTCTATAGTTCGAAGCTAAGGACCTGTCACCTGTTTTGAAAATAGGTATCACATTTGCCATTTTCCACTTATCTGGCACCATGCCAGTTTGTAGTGATATGTATGAAAAGATTAGCCAAAGGTGTGCTAAGCTCCTCTTTACATTCCTTTAAAAACCCTTGCATACAGTTTCATCAGGGCCTGGGGATTTGTTAGGTTTTAATTTATCTATTTGCCTAAGGACCATGTCACTTGTGACCTAATAGTGCACATTTATTATCGTCCTGTTCTACATAATTTATCATTACTGGAATATCACTGGTATCCTCCTGTGTAAAAAACTGAGAGGAAGTATGTGTTAAAAATTCTACACATTTCCTTATCACTGTCAGTGAGCTGACCCGAGGAACTTTTGAGTGGGCCTATCTTGTCCCTGATCTTACTTCTGTATACCTGAAAGAATCCTTTTGGGTTTAGTCTTCGATTCTCTTGCAACTTAACCTCATAATCTCTTTTGCTTTTCTAATTCCCTTTTTTATTTCTCTCTTTAACTGAATATATCGATTTCTTAATTGCCCTCTCCTCTTTTGATTTGCCTATATATGCCTCTCTTTTTGACCAATCAGATATTTTAATCTATTGTTCATCCATTTAGGATCATTTTTGTTTGATCTGATTTCCCTATTTGGAACATAATTTGACTGAGCAGCTAGAACTATGCCCTGGAAAGCATCATATCGGCAACCATCACCCCCCTACCTGACCCCTAGTCAGGTCATTCCAGTTCAGCCACCTAAGTAATTTTTCAGTCCTATGAAATCAGCCAAGCGAAAGTCAGGGACGGAGACTTGATTGCATTATTAGGGGAATTCCATGATATGTTAAAACTGAGTGATTTGTGATCACTCTCCCCAAGCTCATCATTAACCTCAAGATTATTAATTAGTGTTTCCCTACTGGCAAGAACCAAGTCAAGGAGGTTATTTCCCCTAGTTGGCTCTGTCACAAACTGTTTTAAAAAACAATCCTGGATCGTATCAAGAAAGTCACCCGACTCTAATTTCTGTCAAATTGCTCCAGTCAATCTGTCTATAGTTGAAATCTCCCATTAGCACAACATTTTCGTATGTAGATGCCTTACGAATTTCGTCCCATAGAAGTTTACTGCACTCCCTATCAAGATTTGGGCCCTGTAAATCACACCCAAAATTAGTTTTTCTCGGCCCTCGAGAAGCTGTAACCAAACAGATTCAGTGGCTGACGCTTCTAATTTAATATCTTGTCTAACACAACAATTTAAATTGTCTCTGACATACATCGCTACTCCACCACCTTTCCTGTTGACCCTGTCAGTGTGGAATAATTTATAGCCTTGTATGTGACATTCAGATGGCATCCTCTATCTTTCAGATTGAGCCAGGTCTCTGTTATAGCAATAACTATCTGTTTCCTGCACTTGCAATTAATCTTAGCTCATCTATCTTATTTCTAACACTCCTGCTATTAGTATAGTAAACCTTAAGGGAGCTAGTCCCTTGCTGCCCTCTGCTGTCCCCCTTTGTTTTCTGACCTGTTCTATTGTCTTTATTTATAACTTCATGCTGAATGCCTTTTATACATTTACTGTTTCCAACCCTAGTGTTGCAACCTGCTTGTTTCCCACCACACACCCATACCTCTATCTTCCATCAGTTTAAAATCATAGGCATTTTCACCAATGGCCTTCTCAATCGAGTCTGCAAGTGCTACCACCCCTGCCCCAGAGAGATGAACCCCATCCCTTGCATACATATCATGTTTGCCATAAAAGTTGTTCCAGTTGTCAATGAATGGGATTGCAAGTTCCTTGCAGTATCTGTCTAGCCAGCAATTTACACCAATTGCCCTAGACAACCATTCATTTCCTACTCCCCTTCTAGGCAAGATGCTACATATGATTGGGATCCTCCCTTAGACTTAATGAAATCTATAGCTGACCTGTACTTATCTAGCAGCTCTTCTCTCCTACCCTTCCCAATATCATTTCCACCAGCACTGAGACAGATAATGGGCTTGTTCCCATTACCTGACATGATATTATCCAGTCTGTTGACAATGTCCCCAACACAGCTCCAGGGAAGCACACTCTATCTCTCATCTTCTTATTCCTATTACAAAAAGCACGGTCAACATATCTTACCTGAGAGTCACCAACCACAAGAATGCGCTTACTTCAATTAGCAGGGCAGTAGTACCTTACCTTCACTGGCCACTGAAGTACATTCATCCTGGAGAACAGAGAAGCGTATTTCCTACCTTCAGATCTTCACTCTTAACTTTCCTTACTCTGATGCGCCCTCCCATTACTGTGAACAACTCGCCACTTGTTAGCAGGTGCTGGGCTGCACCTCACTGCTGGTACCCGTTGCTACCTCCCCACCTACAGCCTCCTCACAGTGAGAGACAGACTGCACCTCACTGCTAGAAGCCTCATTCCCCACATCTCCAACCACCTCACACTCTCTCCCAGGCCCATTGAGGTGGACCTTCAGCCTCCTAATCTCCTCCTGGAGAAGCAAGACCTCCTCCTTCAACTCTCCAAACTCAGTTTTTAAAACACTGCAGAAGCAAGCCATGCTTTGTAACCGTCCACGCTAATCCCCAAAGCAGCTCAGGGTCTGTGACCTCACGTGACGACTGACCACTGACCACTGACGACTGACCACTGAACACTGACGACTGACCACTGAACACTAGTTATATAAAGAAGTTGAATATTAAATAATAAATATTCTTATATGACAAACCTCATTCAGCTGGTTCATTGGTGTTCTATACTGCGGTTGTGGTGTAATATATTCACCATGTGCGATCGCCAGCTTGATTTGTCGTTCTCGAGTGTTGGACGTCATTCTTGGCACCTTTTTACTCTTGTTTCTACCGTCTCCTTTGGGTTTGCTTGGCTGTTAGGTAAACAATTTTCATTACTAATTAGGAATCCAATAGAGTATTTTTTATAAAACCAGAATAATGTATGCTCTTCCCAACACAACTCATTCAATGTATAAAACAAATCTGCTTAACAAATCAGTAAAATAAAATACTGAAGGACCTTAAAACTTGCATAACAAATTACATGTAAACAAGACATTATTAGACAATACAAAACCCCCATCATCCTGAGTATGATAATACGAAACTAATAATACTGCTCAAAATATTATTCCTTTACTATCAAGGATAAATCAGTGTTATCATACTATCCTATAAACAGTTAACTTGGGCAGAGGTCAACTATCAGTGAATACAAAGTCACAATACTAATGCTGGAACAAGTCACAAAGAACTCACACAAAGGACAGGAAACTTGAAACTGCTTCAATCCGTCTGGGAGATTGTCAAGTCACAACTAAGCGAAAAAATGCAAGAGGACCAAACAAAATGGCATCACAAGTTTCCTCTCCTAAGTGGGAGTTATTTGCCAAAATAGTAAATCGAAGATAAATGGCAGAGTAAGACATTTCATTTATTAAGCCAAGTTTCACTCTGGGAGCAGCTTTTACCAAGAGAAAGGCTCAACAATAAAATAAAAGGCTCTGTTCATGTGAATGTTTCTATAATGGGAACTATACAGGTAAATGATGCGCTTCCATACAAGTAACTCAGTCAAAAACCTCATGTTGCGAGAATAATATACAAGCAATATAACTGCACGTTCTCCATGGGGAAGTGTAACAGGACTCTTCCCCCTAAGTCATGCATGTCGTAAGAGGCGACTAAAATGCTGGGAGCAAGGGACTAGTAATCCCTTCTCCTGTATATGTTACTAAATTTAAGAATAGAAACTTTCGTTTTTTCTTTTGGGCAGCCCTGCCTAGGTAGGATACTGCCGGTGCATTAAACGAAGATAACTATACATACCTCGGTGGGAGACTGTATAGTTTAAGTGAAAGTATTTAATACATTTTGAAGGACATTGATTACCATCACTAAGCCAACAGAAAACAATAAATATATGGCACTATTTTTAAGAGAGATCATTTTGTGCATCGTTAATTAACAATTTAAAGTGAACCTGAGTAACATTTACGAAATACTTGACGATGAATTACACACGCCAAACATCTAGCTGTGTATTTTGTAGACTTTTGCCATCTAAGGGGCTACTAGTACCTTGCCCCCAGCATTTTAGTCGCCTCTTTCAACAGGCACGGCTTACGCAGGAAGGATTCTACACAGGTCTTACAAGTATTTCAAGTTAGGATAGCTTAAGAATAACAACCAGAAATAAGTTTTCTTGACAAGATGCATACATAGATTCTGAAATAAATGAATTAAGAACAAGAGAAGAGCTAAGCGACATGTCAAAATGAAAAAATAATGGATTATGCAACTCGCTTAATGCCAAAATTAATGGGTAGATAAAATTTCCAAAACTGTGCGAGCTAATTTGTTCACCCATAACAATGGACAACTAATTTGATGCGTTTTATACATAAATAATATAAAAAAGTGAGGGTATAAGTGTAACAAGTAAAATTTTTCGTATTTTTTTTTCATTTTTTCATGAGAAACATTTCCAAATTAGATTACATACTGCCTTCAGAGCCTAAACAAAGTCAGAAATTAAGATATACACCTACCATCCGACTTACGACCGAGTTCGGTTCCGAGAAACCGGTCGTAAGTCGAAATGGTCACAAGTCGAACTTTACTACTGAATATCAACAAAACATTTTTGTAATGACTTTATTTTATTGTTTTATTTTGGTATTTCATGTTTTACTTTACTTTTTATGTTGTTAGTACTGTATTTCATACTGTAAGGTTTAGGATAAACCCTGTGTAAAACACAAATACTTGTTTATTTCCCAGAAATTTGGCATAAAAAACACGGTCATAAGTTGAGTGGTCGTAAGTCGAGCAGGTCGTCAGTCGGATGGTAGGTGTATTAATATCCTTGACTATCAAAGCAGCTGGAGCAGAGTTAAGGCAAGACATTGAAGCAGATACGAGACCAGGTGTCAGTCATGAGGGGCCATATACCAAGCTACCCATATATACCCAAGTACCTTCAGTGTAATGCTTGGGGTTCATTAACAGGGAACATAGTACTAAGAAGTACAAGTATACTGCTTATAAGCATTAACTAAATTGCACTGAGCAGAGTACGTAACAGACTTGAAAGTTACCCAAAAGCACCATATATAAAACAGATGCCCTGCTTGCTGCCTGCTGTACAGAAGAAAATTGAAAACTGCAGATACAGTAATGAAGACAAGCTGCCTACTGTATGGAAGACTAATGAGGAATTGCAGATACAGTAATGAAGGATAACTCAATATCTAAACTTCAGTAAAACAATGCTGTATTATAATTATAGGCAAGAGCTGCATTATAATTATAGGTAAGAGGTAATCCCACAGGGATAGTACAGCACCTGGAAAGTAATTAGGTTCAATCCAAGAGAAGGGAAGTTCTTCAGTGTCTGCAAGAACCTTCAGACTCTTGAAGGGAACCAACACTTTAAAGCACTATTTACTGTATATATTTTTTTTAACATTCTAGCTGCCTCCCACCAAGGCAGGGTGACCAAAAAAAAAAAAAAAAAAACACCACTTTCACCATCATTCATACTATCATGTCTTTGCTGAGACACAGATACGACAGTTTGGATGTCACTAAACAGCAAGTATCCCTAACCCATCCTTTAAAGTGTACGCATTGTACTTCCCATTCCAGGACTCAAGTCCGACTAACTGGTTTCCACTAATAAAATGTCACAATACTGTGACTGGAATACACAAATAACCCACGTTTCAGTCTAAACTGGACTACTGACTAGACACAAAGTCGGACAGAAACGTTGTCACAAGTTTCAGTCTGGCTACTTGTGTTTTGTATATACAATAACCTCTCTTATAAAGCTTCTCTATATACTAGTGCAATTTTTCATAAATGCAGTTAAAAAATACATCCAAAATTGTATAATACAGTGGACCCCCGCCTTACAATATTAATTCATTCCAGAAGTCTGTTCGGGTGCCGTTACCGAACGAATTTGTTCCCATAAGAAATATTGTAAATTAGATTAGTCTGTTTCAGACCCCCAAAAATACACGTACAAAAGCACTTACAAAAATACACTTACACAATTGTTCGAGTTGGGAGGTGATGGTAAGGCGGTGGTCCACTGTACATTGACAGGTCATCATAGCACGTGCTATTCATTTTTTATGCACTTTTTCAATCAAATTTACAAAAAGAAATGTACCTATAAGAGAAGTTTTTAAAAGCACTGACTATTTTAAACAATTTGAGAAAAAATTAAATTTTTTTTAATTCCAAAAATTTCTACATATGTATATTACATACATTATTGTTTTAAAGACATTTGTAAACAGTAAAAACATCGACTTTGTCTGCTATGAGAAACGCCTTCATTCTAGTACAATGGTACCTCAAGTTATGAACTTGCAAGAGCACTTACAAAATACACTTGCTTAATTATACGAGTTGGGAGCTGTTCGAAACTCCAGGTACCACTGTATGCTAGTACAGTTATGCCTTCATTATAGTACAGCACCTGCAAAAAAAAATCTTTACATGTCCAACGCAGAAAAAATATACACACGAAATTTGGAGGCATACATTTCGCTCGCATTTCTGCCATAGGAAGGGCGTGATGACGTAGTGTACTGGACCCCGTCTTGCTGCATTGTTCCCACCATGCCACGCTTCAGTGTTCTTCCAGAGCTTGGTGAGGAAGGGGGGCTTGCTACATTGTTCCTTAGTGCCACTTTTTTTCACTCAACCACGAACTTTGCCATGCTAAATCTCCACTCCAAGTGGTCAGAATGGGTCCAACTAAACTTTCAATTGAAGAGAAGACCTGTGCACTCACCCTCTTAGAACAGGGTATGTCTAATATGCATAGCCGCAGACCTGAAGGTGATGAGGATGGCAACTGACAACCTCAAGAAAGCAGCTGCCTCACTCCCACCTGGCTCTTTCTTGAGGTCTGCAGCTGTTATGGCAGGATCTGATAACACTTCTCTCTTCAGGATGTTGTCTGTGCGAAGAGAAGTCGTTTAACAGCCGCAGACCTCAAGAAAAAGCCAGGTGGGAATGAGGCAGCTGCTTTCTTGAGGTTGTCAATTGCCATCCTCATCACCTTCAGGTCTGCGGCTACGAGTATCACAGACATGCCTTGCTCTAATAGGGTGAGTGCACAGGTCTTCTCTGCAATTGAAGGTTTAGCCTGACTCATTCTGACCACTTGGAGCAGATATACAGCATGGCAAAGTTCATGGTCGAGTGATAAAAAGGGGCACTGAGGAACAACATAGCAAGCCCCCTTCCTTACCAAGCTCTGGCAGAACACTTAAGTGTGGCATGGTGTCGAACAATGGAGCAAGACGGGGTCCAGTACACTACGTCATCACACTTTTCCTATGGCGGAAACGCGAGTGAAATGCATGCACCAAACTTTTGCATATACATTTTTTTTGCATTGAACATGTAAAGATTTTTTTTTTGTAGATACTGTATATTTGTATAGCTACAGAGCTATGCCTTCATTCTAGTATACTTGTACAGTTACAGAGCTATGCCTTCATTCTAGTATACTTGTACAGTTACAGAGCTATGCCTTCATTCTAGTATACTTGTACAGTTACAGAGCTATGCCTTCATTCTAGTATACTTGTACTACAGAGTTACTGTCAGTAATGCCATCAATCTAGTACACTTGTACAGTGTACAACCCCTGGCTTAACCATGCACCCCAGACTGTGCGACACACTTGCCTCGTTTCGATGCTCCCCTCCGTGTGCATGCTAAAAATAAAAATATATATGGAGGCATGAATATATACATCATCGCCAATTTGTCCGTTCTGTGCCCGACAACATCCTCAATCATGGGGACTCATCAGATTGATGCAACAGAAACCCATCTACTGGCAAATTAAAAATACCAAACACTGAGCCTAATAAGAAAAAAATGGCATGTATATATATGTAAGAAACTATGCACATTCAAAATATAAATATACATGCATTCTCAAAAATGTAATTTAACAGAAAAACAATTCAATATTCAATACTACATTGGAAATCAAGATTTGACTTATAAAATGTGCAGCATGTAAATTATAATAAATTCTTAACAAAAATATTTTTAAGTGGAAAAATGAAGAAGAAATACTAAAGCCAAGAGCAAACACATCCCGCAGGAGTGACGATACCTTCTGTTTCTTGTCAAGTTTCAATCGCTCTGTCTCCTGGGTCATTTCTTCCCGCCAGAGGTTAAAGAAGTATGAAGGATCGGTGTAGAACTTGAGACCGTCCTTGCCATCGTCCCTATGTGAAAAAAAGTACATAGAGAAAAGGTTAAAAAAATTTTTTTATTAATATATTGGCAGTTTGGAGGGATATGTTGTGTATCTTTATAGGTATATGCTTCTAAACTGTTGTATTCTGAGCACCTCTGCAAAAACAGTGATAATGTGTGAGTGTGGTGAAAGTGTTGAATGATGAAAGTATTTTCTTTTTGGGGATTTTCTTTCTTTTTTGGGTCACCCTGCCTCGGTGGGTCACCCTGCCTCGGTGGGTCACCCTGCCTCGGTGGGTCACCCTGCCTCGGTGGGTCACCCTGCCTCGGTGGGTCACCCTGCCTCGGGGGGTCACCCTGCCTCGGTGGGAGACGGCCGACTTGTTTAAAGGAGAGAGAGAAAGATAGAGAAGAAAGAGAAGAAAAGAGAGAGAAAGAGAAAGAGAGAAAGAGAAAGAGAGAAAGAGAAAGAGAGAAAGAGAAAGAGAGAAAGAGAAAGAGAGAAAGAGAGAGAAACCATACCCCCCCCGGCCGGGATTGAACCCGCGGTCATAGAGTCTCAAAACTCCAGCCCGTCGCGTTAGCCACTAGACCAGCTAGCCACAATAAGATTGTCCAACTAGGTATATTTCTACACCATAGGAAGGTTAGCACAGGCACCACTGTGACCACAAATGCAAGTTTTTACAGACGAATCTCCAGCTAGCGTGGCCGTGACGAACTCTAGCTCAAGAGTTTTGAGACTATGACCGCGGGTTCAATCCCGGCCAGGGGTATGGTTTGTTTGCAATCGTGTCATTACGATTTCTGAGTCATGTTGACGGCAGTGAGGGGCTTTGAGCTAGAGTTCGTCACGGCCCCGCTAGCTGGAGATTCGTCTGTAAAAACTTGCATTTGTGGTCACAGTGGTGGCCTGTGCTAACCTTCCTATGGTGTAGAAATATACCTAGTTGGATGAATCTTATTGTGGCTAGCTGGTCATGGCTAACGCGAGGGGCGGGATTTTGAGTAGACCGGGGTTAACCCCCGCCGGGGGTATGGTTTGTTTGAAAATGGTCATTACATTTTTTGAGCAAAGAGAGAGAGAGGGGAGAGAGAGAGAAGAGAGAAGAGAGAGGAGAGAGAGAAGAGGAGAGAAAAAAGAGAGAGAAAAGAGAAAAAGAGGGTCCCCTGGCCCCCATCCTGGTAGATCGCATTTAGCAGAGCCTTCAACTGGAGGGATGTGGGGGGCCTTACTTTATGTACAAGGCCAATAGCAAAAACCACATTTGGACCATTCGAGGACACGTGAAACAAGTTTTATCCACAAGACGGCAAAAAGCGCAACTTCACTCGGGCTGTCCCTTTCTCCAAAATACCCCCATCGAGATCATAAAACCCCAGGATATCGGTAGGAACACTTCTACACATAATAGTCAACGAGATAAAGTCTTGACAAATGAAAATGCGGGCCCCCCGATGGCTCCAACTTTATCCTTCCCGTATTTTTGTTATAACAATAAAAACTTTTCAAAAGACTGATGTAGGGAACAGCTTTACTTGCCAAAAAATTAGGAAAAACCTTAAACCCGTAATACAGCTGCAATAAACAAGGGCCTTTAAACCCTTTTCAAACCTGGTAAAAAAAAAAAAAAAAAAAAAAAAAAAAGAAAGAAGAGAGAAGAGAGAAAGAAAGGAAAGGAGAGAGAGAGAGAGAGAGAGAGAGAAGAGGGGAAAGAAGAAAAAAGGAAAAGAAAGGAGAAAAGGGAAAGGAGAAAAAGAAAAAAAAAGAGAGGGGGAAAAAAATGGGGGGGAAAAGGGAAAGGGGAAGGGGGGGGGAGGGGGGGGAGGGGGGATAGAGAGGGGGAGAAAAAGAGGGAGAGGAGAGAAAAGGAGAGGGGGGAAAAGGGGGGGGGAAAGGAGGAGAGGGGGGGGGGGGGGGGGGGAAAAAGGGGAGGAAAAAAAGGGGGGGGGGGGGAGAGAGAGGGGGGGGGGGGGGGGGGGGGGGGGGGGGGGGGGAAAAAAGAGAAAAAGAGAGAGAGAGGGGAAAAAGAGAGGAGAAAAAAGGGAAAAAAAGAGAGGAGAGAAAAAGAAAGAAAAGGGGAAGAAGGGAAAGAGGGAGAGAGAAAGAGGAAGAGAAGAGAAAAAGAGAGAGAAAGAGAGAGAGAAGGGAAAAGGAGGAGAGAAGAAAGGAGAAGAAAGAAAAAGGAGGGGAAAAAAAGAGAAGAGAAAAGGGGAGAGAAAAGAAAGAGAGAGAGAGAGAGAGAGAGAGAGAGAGAGGAGAGAGAAGAGAAGGAGAAAAGAGAGAGGAGAAGAGAAAAAAGAGAGAAAGAGGAAAAAGGGGAGGAGAAAGAGAAGAGAAAGAAGAGAGAAAGGAGAGAGAAAGAGAAGAGAGAAAAAAAAAAAAAAAAAATTGGCCATTTCCCCCCAAGGGCAAGGTCACCTGAAAAAAGGAAACACTTTCACATCATTCCCTCCTCCTGTCTTGCCAATGTGCACCTACACCCATTTTAACAAACCAAAACCACTTCACCCTCCTTCAGATGCAGACACGACTTCCCCCCTCCAGGACAAGCCCACTAACGGTTTCCCCTCCAAAAGCGCTCTGAAAAGTAAGGTCAAAAAAAAACACTTTAAAAAGTCAAAACAATTATTCAATAAGGAATCTTTAAAAAACAAAGGGGGGGTTTTTGGGGTATAACTTTTTTGGGGGGGCAATTAACTATTGCTCTATGCGCCTTGATAAGACAGGGTAGATGAATGACGGGGAAATGTTCTTTTTTTGGGTTACCTGCTTCCGTGGGAGATGGCCAGGTGTTAAGCGTAAGATAAACAGTTACCAGATTCTGAGCGAAGGGAAGCAGGCTAACATATTTTCTGGCACATAAGCTGTGAACGACAAATATCAATATCGGTACATAATCAGTAATCATATTCAAGGGGTTAAATACCCTATTTATTTACACTAAAGCATTAGGCCAAAGCCTATCCTAGACCCTGACCTTGAGCATGTAGGGCACAGGATGATTTTCCCTGACTTTGTGGGTAAAAAAAAAAAGGCACACCTCATGTGCTGTAAAATATGGTACATGCAGACAGCACATGACTATTTTCTCAGTCGAGCTTTAAGTCATACAGTTCCTCGCAACACAATATCCACCAGTGAACAAGCCATGTTAGACAGCAGGTATCACCAACCAGAATGAAGAACTAGACCTGTGTAACATCTAGGTATCTTGATTTATAGATACAGTTCCAGCCAGTAGTTTTATCAATACAAATTCAAGGATATAATTGGAAGACAGTTTGGAGGGATATGTTGTGTATCTTTATAGGTATATGCTTCTAAACTGTTGTGTTCCGAGCACCTCTGCAAAAACAGTGATAATGTGTGAGTGTGGTGAAAGTGTTGAATGATGATGAAAGTATTTTCTTTTTGGGGATTTTCTTTCTTTTTTGGGTCACCCTGCCTCGGTGGGTCACCCTGCCTCGGTGGGTCACCCTGCCTCGGTGGGAGACGGCCGATTTGTTGGGGGGAAAAAAAAAAAAAAAAAACTATATACAAAAGAAAAGGTAATCAGTCCCACTGAGTAGATGTGACGAGCACTGTAGACATACAGAATAAAGCCACTAGATGACAAATTGTCTACAAACAGATACCCGGATGTTGTACATGTGTGTAATTTTTCATCTTATCGGTACTGTATACCATTGATGTACAACATCTGGGTATCTACTTGAAGACATTGTTCCAGCCAGTGGTAAAACCTCTACAAACAGATACCCAGATGTTGCACGTGTTTCTTAATTCTTCACTTTTGTTAGTACTGTACACCATTCATGTCCACCACCACCAAGAATAATACACTAGGTAGAGCTTCATCAAGTGAAGGTATAGTAAGATTTTTTATAAGTCTAGATGAAAAAAATTCTTTGAAATTTAGTAACCATTTTCATTTGGAAGGAAGGGGTAAGGGAGGTTTTGTGGGCAAGGGGTTTGGACTTCCAGCAGGTGTGCTTGAGCGTGTTAGATAGGAGTGAATGGAGACGAATGGTACTTGGGACCTGACGATCTGTTGGAGTGTGAGCAGGGTAATATTTAGTGAAGAGATTCAGGGAAACCGGTTATTTTCATATAGCCGGACTTGAGTCCTGGAAATGGGAAGTACAATGCCTGCACTCTAAAGGAGGGGTTTGGGATATTGGCAGTTTGGAGGGATATGTTGTGTATCTTTATACGTATATGCTTCTAAACTGTTGTGTTCCGAGCACCTCTGCAAAAGCAGTGATAATGTGTGAGTGTGGTGAAAGTGTTGAATGATGATGAAAGTATTTTCTTTTTGGGGATTTTCTTTCTTTTTGGGTCACCCTGCCTCGGTGGGAGACGGCCGACTTGTTGGAAAAAAAAAAAAATCAATTTTCTTTAACACACTAGCCATCTCCCACCAAGCCCCTAAAAATAAGGAAAAACATTCACCATCATTCATTCAATCACTTTTTCTAGAGATGAGCAGGTGACACGGTCTGAAGAGCCGTCCAAACTGCAACATTAATGAAGTCAACAGCTGCTGACCTGTAAGGATTAAGCTGATGGAGAGGTGGTGGCTGTTCACAGGTCTGATAGGTTTCCAACATGGGAGCAGGAATAGTATCCCTAGAGACTACTTGTTGGTCAAACAATGTTGATGATTTGAATGCTTTCCGCATGTGGATGTCTTGCAACGACACTAGAAATAAACAAAACATTAATACAGAGTATTTTAATTTTTAGAAGTCAGAAACAAAATAAACTCTCAATATTATGGACTAATAGAGGCATTCTCCAGGTGTCTATTATCAGAATAATGTTTAAAATATGCACTGTTTACCTAATATTGTACTGTACACACAATTTACAGACATACTGCAATAAACATTGAATTAAAGGAGTTAAAAGAACAAATTACTCAGTGAATTTTGTTACTTCTGAAGTTCATTATACTGAAGTTTGTTATACTGGGGATTTATCTCGTGTATCCCAGATAGGGAAGGATAGTCAGTATTCTTGATAATAGAAAAACAGACACAAATGCAATACAATCCAATACTTTATTGACTACATTTTTGCCTACACAGTGGACTTTATTAAGTCACAAAGAGATCTGTTTGTGACTTGATAAAGTCCATTGTGTGGGTGAAAAGTTTCCAATAAATGATCACATTATACTGAGTTTGTCTCTATTTTTTCATAGTGCCAGAATTTTATAGAATCATCTCACATGTTCATGACACACAAAGATCAGTGGTCCTGTCAGAGTGCAAAGCAATTAACAAATTTCCATTTCACACTTATGACAGCGATTGTGTACGAATAATTTGTTTTGCAAAAGTATCTGGAGAGTTACTTACCTTCTTCTACATTACTATCTAAATTCTTGACTTTCACTGACAATTTGTCAACTCTTCCTTGTAAAGACACAGTGCGATTCAATATCAATGTTGATTCTGCAATCATTTCCCCAAATAAATCTTCAGCATGCCGAGAAAGCGACGATAACTGAAAAATAATTAAATACTAAAGAATTCTACGTACATTAAGACACAGAGTATTAATGTATACACAAACCTAACCCTAATGTAAGAAAGTATGAGTATTCGCAAAGAATATATTGCTGTATGATCCTGTGTATGCCCAATCTGTGTATATCACCCATATGCCCAATCCATGTATATCACCCAAGATCCTATAATAACAAAGCATATACAAGAAGTCCTTACCTTACAAACACACTGGGGATGTCCTGAATTGTGTATAATATTATACACAATAATTATATATACACAATACAGAAGATTCTCAACATGTTTGTAAGTCGAGGACTGTGTGTATTCAAATTGTAAATTACGTGTATTTAAAAAATAAAAGCCAGAGAATGTCACTTACTTGAGTAATTAAATTGGCAAGCGTGAGGTTGGTAAATGCCTCTAGGTCTTGTGGTTGGTATGTAGCGGGCAGAAGTGCAGGGTACACGCGGCCATTTTCATCCGTGACCCACTCTTCCACCAGTGGCACCCGTGACACATGCACGGGTGACACCACTCGCTTCAGAAGTGGCATCTTCTAGGTTTCAACCCTGTCAAGATGTCTCCATTGAAAATATCAGCAAGTACCCTCAACTGACCAGTTCCAGTGACAAGCACCCCATAACAGACCATAGGAGGGAGAAAAAATTTACGATGATGTTACGGTCCAACTAGGAATTTGCAAATGGTTCAAGTCAGACCAAAATGTCGTTGTAAACTTTCTTTCCCCTAGGTGCAGGTTATTTGTGTATTGTGGAAAAGGTACTGCACATACTGAATGTAACTGACTCGACTCGACTCTGAATGTAAATAGAAGTTTATAATATGCGAGTCATCTTAAATGTTCAGGGAGACAAAAGGCCATCAATCCCACTAGATTACAAAATATTAACAGGTTTCCATATCACACTCTTATGACAGGATGCTGTCTATGAACTTACTACCTTGTACCAGCAAGAGATACTATATATGAACACATACACCTAACACTATAAATATTAATATTTTTAGAGGGAGAGAGTATGGAAGAGGCGAATGTATTTAGAAATTTAGAAGTGGACGTGTCAGCAGATGGGTCTATGAAAGACGTGGTGAATCACAGAACTGACAAGGGGAAAAAGGTGAGTGGTGCACTATGGAGTCTGTGGAGACAAAGAACTTTGTCTATGGAAGCAAAGAGAGAAATGTATGAGAGTATAGTTATACTAATGCTCCTATATGGGTGTGAAGCATGGGTGGTGAATGTTGCAACAAGGAGAAGGCTGGAGGCAGTGTAGATGTCATGTCTGAGGACAATGTGTGGTGTGAATATAGTGCAGAAAATTTATAGTCTGGAAATTAGGAGTAGGTGTGGGATTACCAAAACTATTATCCAGAGGGCTGAGGAGGGGTTGTTGAGGTGGTTTGGACATGTAGAGTGGGAGGAGGGAAATAGAATGACTTCCAGTGTATAAATATGTAGTGAAGGGAAGGTGGGGTAAGGACTGGCCTAAGAAAGGTTGGAGGGAGGGGGGGGGGTAAAGGTGGTTTTGTTTGCAAGGGGCTTGGACTTCCAGTAAGCATGTGTTAGTGTGTCAGACAGGAGCGAATGCAGACAATTGGTTTTTAGGACTCGATGTGCTGTTGGAGTGTGAGCAAGGTAACATTTATGAAGAGATTCAGGGAAACCGGCAGGCCGGACTAGAGTCCTGGAGATGAGAAGTACAGTGCCTGCACTCTGAAGGAGGGATGTTAATGTTGCAGTTTTATAACTGTAGTGTAAGCGCACCTCTGGCAAGACAGTGATGGAGTGAACGATGGTGAAAGTTTTTTTTCGGGCCACCCTGCCTTGATGGGAAACAGTCAGTGTGTTAGTAAAAAAAAAATTAATTCAAATTTTTGCTCTATCTGACAATTCAATACTTTACCTGTTGGTACAACAGTAAATCTTGTGTGGCCAAACTCTTCCTGTTTGGCCGCCACTTTTGTACCTCGGCGGCATGCGACTTACTTAGGTGAAAACTTTACCACAAAATCGCACTTTTCGCCTGACGGTGCATTTTCTCTGTGGGTAGAAAAAAAGGCAAAGAATAATAAAAATATTATATATGTACTATTTCAAATTACAGTGTTAAATTAGGACAATAAAAAAATCAAAACATTACAGCATATAATGTATTAATGATCAAAGAGTATACAATATTCTGTAACAAACAAACCTCACTTAAAAATCACAATAATACTTTGGGATTTTGTAATGTTTTAGCACCTGTTCAGGACATTAACAGTTTGTGTGCAAGTGCATGTGAAAGAAAAAATACTGTACCATCAATACATAACTTTTGCATTCACAAAAATGTTATTTTGATAAATTTTTCAAATAAAATGCACTTAATAGTGAAAGTTTCTTATAAAATTACAACATTTTAGCACGTTTCTACACAATATAACATCAAGTCTGTTATATACACGTACATTATAGTTATAATTTCTTAACTACTCTTAAATAGAGAAAGAATCATAAAATAATGTACATAGCTGTATTTATGTTCAAAGATGCTGAGAAATAAACAGTAAAAGGGGTAATGATCTTCAAATATTAATGGGAGTAGAGACGAGACTTGTAAAACATCGATACAATGTTTGGGCTTAAAAACAGCATTCACACATAGACATGAACTTGTGTACAGGAGACTCGACACTAGCAGAGACAACTAGGCAAGTACACTGCTACTTCCTTTCCTAGTGGAAGTAGAGGCAAGACTGTGGGAGGAAGCACTGACCACCACCATGAAAGACTAAACTGGTAACCCACAAATTCCAGTGCAATTATGACAATGACACTTTTTCCACAATTTACCCAACCATCTTGAAATGAATTAGCCAAAGCCAATAACAACATTCTTCATTGACTTAGTGTAGCAAACTTAAGAGAGAAAATTAACAGAATCATCATTGGTGTGGTAGTGTGTGGCAAGTGTGTATATGGCACAAGGGTTCAATAATCAGGATGTAGGGCTAGTCTTACTGCCTCACTCCACACCACCACTCACACTAACTCCTATTCCCATTTTACCGACAATTCATCCCATTGTCATCGTATATAATTACTAATTACTAAGAGATTTACACATTAAACTCGAGCAATTACACATTACTGTTGCCAAACTCAATAAATCGAGAAACTTAGATGCAGCAACCAAGAATATTATACTCAATTAAAATAAGACAAAATAAATTATACAACTTTTGTGATTCTATAGCAATAATGACCACTAAATCATACTATATAAAACAGATTTATGATATGGCTATACTGAACACTCAATTTCACAATATACATTTATGTTACATAATACCACTTGCATATAATTAAAAAACCATACACAATGCTTCATAAGGATTTAGAGTGAGTTATGTCTTTGCTTAATAAACTTTATCACTGAGTTGTCAACCTCAGTGTGCTTGCTGTTGTTCTTAATTCACATTTCTACACAGAACTACATGTAAGTTCGCTTATTAAGTTAGCATGTTTATTTAGGCACAAGTACGTTTAAGTACAATTATTATACATAGTGTAAATTATCCACCAGGAAAACAAAAAAGTCAGAGTGACTAATTTCCACTGAGATCCTTCACGCTTTTGTCTCTAATTGCAATTGAAAAGTACCTTCAAAATTAATCAGCAGGTGAAAAAACCTTTACAATATGTACTATTAAACTATAAATGAAATTAGTCAATTGCATCTGCAACAAACTGCACTGTACAGAAGCTTGACAGATAACTTTATGTACTTTCAAAGAGATGAAAGAGATGGAGTCGGTCTATACTAAGTTCATGCTGAACAAATTCACTCCTTTTCATCCCACATTCTGAACAATGAACATCCTGCACTTCCAATATGATGCAACACATGACATATGACATGCAAGATGATTGAAGTTCAGAGTATCCCATGTTGCAACATCGTACAACAGCACTTAGTGATTGACCACAGCCAGTCTTAGTCTCCAATTATAAGTCCCATAAGAAATTAGGAACACTGCAGGAGGCCTACTGGGCAGGTCCTTCTGAAATCCAACCAACAATTCTCACACACAAGGAGGAACACTGCAGGAGGCCTACTGGGCAGGTCCTTCTGAAATCCAACCAACAATTCTCACTCACAAGGAGGAACACTGCAGGAGGCCTACTGGGCAGGTCCTTCTGAAATCCAACCAACAATTCTCACACAAGGAGAACACTGCAGGAGGCCTACTGGGCAGGTCCTTCTGAAATCCAACAATTTTCACATACATCTGTACATTGTATTCTCAAAGCTACTCAAGGAATTAGCCTGAAAAACCCTAATAATCAAAGTTATTCAGGTCCTCCTTAAATTCATCAATTTTAAACTTTTATCTTTCTATTTTTTCCTCTATATTTTAATTCTACTTAAGGTACTTACCAACAACCTGGGTAATCGGAGATTACGCTGAGATCAGCAAACTGAGGATTGAGTCTGCAGTACTCCTTTCACTGAATGGCCCACACAGGTTTAGCTCTTCATATTGTTTTCCTACTGTGACATTTGCTCAAGTCTAGGGTAAGGCTCATTCTCTCCCCACACTTTTATACATCATGTCGTGACAGTAATAGTAGTATGTACTACTACTAGCAGTAGTATGCACTACTAGTACTAGTAGTATGCACTACTAGTTGTATGCACTACTACTAGTACATACTACTAGTACTAGCATGTACTACTAGTACTAGCATGTACTACTAGTACTAGCATGTACTACTAGTACTAGCATGTACTACTAGTACTAGCATGTACTACTAGTACTAGCATGTACTACTAGTACTAGCATGTACTACTAGTACTAGCATGTACTACTAGTTTCTAGCATGTACTACTAGTACTAGCATGTACTACTAGTACTAGCATGTACTACTAGTACTAGCATGTACTACTAGTACTAGCATGTACTACTAGTACTAGCATGTACTACTAGTACTAGCATGTACTACTAGTACTAGCATGTACTACTAGTACTAGCATGTACTACTAGTACTAGCATGTACTACTAGTACTAGCATGTACTAGTACTAGCATGTACTAGTACTAGCATGTACTAGTACTAGCATGTACTAGTACTAGCATGTACTACTAGTACTAGTATGTACTACTAGTACTAGTATGTACTACTAGTACTAGTATGTACTACTAGTACTAGTATGTACTACTAGTACTAGTATGTACTACTAGTATGTACTACTAGTACTAGTATGTACTACTAGTACTAGTATGTACTACTAGTACTAGTATGTACTACTAGTACTAGTATGTACTACTAGTACTAGTATGTACTACTAGTACTAGTAGTATGTAGTACTAGTAGTATGTACTACTAGTACTATGTACTACTAGTATGTACTACTAGTACTAGTATGTAGTATGTTCTAGTAGTACTAGTAGTAGATTAAACAAAATAAATTTAAAACTGCCTCAACTACAGTTTTACAATCTTCCATCTCAACTTTAATTCCTAAATATTAACAAATCTTTCATATACGCAATTCTTACATAAAATAAATGCCACATAAAATAACTACTAAATTTTTTTCACATTAAAGTGAACCAGTGTATATACCCACGAGTAAGTGGTAAACCTGTATGGACTACACGGCTACTAGGAAAATGGGAATTAATGAAAACACCTTCCCTAGCAACATGGCAACTACATCCCTCTGAAGGGTTGTCATGTTACAAAATACAGCAATAAAACAGCGTCACGTCCACCAATGAAGGAAATCTCCCCTGATAAGCACCATGATAAGGGACGACACCTCATTGCTACATTTACCGTTCCACACCTCCCACTCTTAGTAAATACAATAAGTCTTCGACTTAAAACACACTGGGGGGTTAGGTTATAAATGACCATAATTTTTAAAGGGGTGGACCGGTAAGCCAGCGGAAGGCCTCGGTCAGATGACCAAAAGCTCCAAAGGCGGGTCATCATCTGACTTAAGACCCGCGTCAGGAAACATTTGTCCTGTTTCCTGACGAACCTAACCTAACCTAACCTAACCTAACCTTACCTAACCTAACCACACTGGGGGCCTTCTGCATTGTGTATATTATTATTATACACAATACAAAAGATTCTGAATGTATAACAAAAAAAAGGCACAATACCATGACTGGAACGATACACAAATAACCCGCATATAAAATGTTCCAAGTCGGACCGAAACGTCGTCGTAAGCTCCTCTCTTCTATGTGCTGGTTATTTGTGTATTCTGAATGTATTTGTAAGTCCAAGACTTACTGTACATGTTTACTCGACGAGTACACGAGTAAGACGTGTGTAGCTACCCAACTGCTGCACAGGTGTCTTACTCAGCTGTCAGTATTATATACTATTAACCCTTTGAGGGTTTTGGTTGTACTAGTACGTCTTACGCGTGGGGGTTTTTGACGTACTAGTACTCATAAATTCTAGCGGCCTCAAATCTAGTGGGAGAAAGCTGGTAGGCCTTCATATGAAAGAATGGGTCTATGTGGTCAGTGTGCACAGTCTAAAAAAATCCTGCAGCACACAGTGCATAATGAGAAAAAAAAACTTTGACCATTTTTTTTTAATAAATCAGCGACTTTGCAGTGTATTTTCGTATGGTATTTATTGTTGTATTCTAGTTTTCCCTTTGGGCCTCATTTTATAGAATGGAAGACATATTACAGAAATTGAGATGATTTTGAAATGGTTTTACAATGAAAGGGTCCTTGAAATTGAGCTCAAAGTAGCAGAAATGTTCCATTTTTACCAAACTTCAAAAGTAAACAAATCGTGCCAAGCGTGCAATACACGTCAACTGGTGAGTCTAATATTCTTTCACAAGTACACCAATAATATTTATACCATTTTTTACACTAATGCAGTAGTCTGCATAACAGTAAATCTTATATTTTTTGTGAAAATAAAAATTCAAAGTGGAAAGCAAAAGAATATAAGAGGGGCCTTGAGACGTGACTAATGACCAGAGGAAATGTCATTTTAGTGCCAGGAATGTCTTTC